CTCAGATGGTTCCTCCCACCATTCTTCTGCATCCTTCTTCTTCTCTGGTAATCACTCATAGCCGAGTAAGATTGTCTTCCATGAACACAGTCTTAACAGTGAGTCCGTAAGTGACTGTGGAAGCCAATTCTGGATCCACACGTCCTTCCACACTGGGGACATAGGTTTCCAGGCAGGAGTTAATCACGGTGAGGGTTTGCCAAGCGTGCCTTCCTCTTAGCACATTTCTCCCTTTCCTCCTGAATTCAAGCATCTTCAAAGTCCATGACTCCTTGGTAAAGACTGTCCTCCAATTGGAGCGCTCTCAGGCCAGTGTTTCCCAGTTTGTCAGTGTTGATACTACATTTTTTTAGATTTGCCTTGAGAGAGTCTTTAAACCTCTTTTGCTGACCACCCGCATTACACTTTCCATTTTTAAGTTCGGAATAGAGTAGTTGCATTGGAAGACGATCATCAGGCATCCGCACAACATGACCAGTCCAACGAAGTTGATGTTGAAGAATTGTTGCTTCGACACTGGTGATCTTTGCTTCTTCCAGTACACTAGCATTAGTTCGCCTGTCTTCGCAGGTGATGTGCAAAATTTTTCAGAGACACCGTTGATGGAATCTTTTGAGGAGTTGGAGATGGTGTTTATAAGTGGTCCATGTTGCACAAGCATACAGTAAGGTTGGTAGTACAATCAGTCCATGACAGGCAAGTCCTTTAATCCTTCAGTGCTACAGTTTTCAGGGAGAGGTCTGTGTTGTGCACCTCGCCTCATGGCGTGTGTGTTTGTGTGCGTGTGTGACAATGTGAGGAATTCACAGGCTACAGGGACAGGGCCCAGGTAATAAATTCCTTAGATAGACAGATCAAAAGAGGCCAGCATCAGGCCTCTCTAAACAAATCCCTGACAATAGAGTGAGATCTTACATGGATCAAGCTGTCACCAGGGGAGATGAAATACTGCCCGTATCGCCAAAGAGAGGGATAAACCTGTCATGTGGGGCTTATGATGGGGCCATAAACATGGGGCACCCGCCATTGGGCAAGGGACAGGATTTAATGGGGAATCTGCTGGGTCCTGAGGTTGCTGGTTCAAATTCTGCTTGGGGAATTTGCTCTCTGTTCTGTAGTCTTTACGAAATTGACTAAAAATCCTCAACAACCCTCCAAGGGTATATCTCTTGTTTATTTTTCTTGACGCTTAAGTGTGTTTAAGACCACAATATAAAAAGCACCGGCACTTTTCTTCCCAGCACTGGGAGAGAAATGGCTCCTTCAACCCTCCAGATTAAAAACCAGTGGAGATTATCTTCTTCTTCTTCTTCTTCTTCTTCTTCTTCTTCTTCTTCTTCTTCTTCTTCTTCTATGATTTGGGATATGGGAGTGGGTGGGTGGTGGTCTAAATCTTTTAACACATAGCTGGGGTATAATAATGTACACAAATCAGTGAGCTTGAGCGATGCAACTTGTTTCTTGCAGTTCAAACCTAGGCATGTTAGCTGGATTAATGGAGTTCACACACCAAGTTGCATGGCTGTCTCACAAACTCAGTCCAGAACAGTGGCCAGAGACTCTCGCAGAAAAGCAATACATCCACTCTTACAATGGGCAAAAAAACCTCATGGAATAACCTAGATGTGCAGGAAAAAAATTACATGTACTACACTGCACGAGAGATTGGGGCAAGTTAGTGACACAAACCGTAAATACTCTAGGTACTGTGTGTAATTGAAAGATGTTCTTACCTTCTTTGCCCCATCTCCATATCTCTTCCCCCTCTCTGCTGCCTCCCTCAAGCCCCTTTTTAGATTGCAGGCTACTTGGGGCAGAGACCTGTCACCCTCATTCCCTTTCTAAAGCACTCTGAATGCAGATGGTGCCATATAAATAAATAAATTAATCATAATAAATACAGAGCTGCCGTAAGTCTGTACATTCACTAAGAACTGCAACACTACAATGCACACTGTTCCATAACATGGAGACAAAGGATGCTGTAACAAAGGCGTTCTCCGTATCACAAGACACACGCCAGGCAGTGTCGAAATACCATTCAGCTTCTCTGTCTCCCAGTGAGAGGGAATTCCAAAAGAAACTTGAATAAATTAATGCATGGAGTGATTGTGTTAATTATACAGCCAATGGGGAAATGGAATGAATAGGCATGTGGGGACGGTGGAATGGATATTTATGGTCTTCCTGGAATAAGACTTGCATCTTTAGTTCTGCACAGGCTGGTTCCCTTCTTTCTAGAATTTTATTTTCCTCTTAGGAAGTGCGCTTGGATGCTTCCACGTAAAGCTTTGTTGTGGAATCATAAATTTCATCCAAATGTCGGCCCATGTTTTGTTTAATCCGTAAAGTATTTCCTTTTACTGTGGAAAAACTGGTAAGTAAACATAACCCTGTTATACATCCACAGTCACTGCTGGCGTGGGAAGCTTGTTAGCTCAATTAGGGGTGTGGGGGGTTTGTCAGTGTTGTGGCAATAGGGTTGCCATCTTTCAAAAAGTAAAAACCAGGAGCTTTCTTTAGACAAACCCCAAAGTTTTCAGAAATTCCCCCTGGACATCAATATTCTGCCTTTGAAATCCCAGTAATGTCTGGGGAAATCCGGCAGCCCTAATTTATTTATCCTGAATCTTCTACTTTTGGGTTTCATTGAATGAAGGAGAGAGAGAGACAGAGGAGGAAGAGAAGAACAGTTCTCTTGATCGCCTTCCTCTACACCATGCATAAATTTATACAATTCTGTCATGTTCTCCCTAACTTCATTCAGCTCTTAAACTAGGGGAAGAGCCAAACCATACCTTTAAAGTGCATTCAATGCCCATTTGAAACACATGAGTACCCTTAACAAATCACAGTGCCCAGAATTATTTGAAGTCATGGCAGGCCTAAGTGGTGATGTTTTGGTGGGTAGGCCCTAACACTGTATTCCCCACTTCTGTTTGCTCCTCACTCAATCACAATCTCGCCATTTTGTTTCTGGTGGCCCAAAAGATCAGAACATGCCCATTTCCACCGATTGCACATGCTGAAAGCACATTGGAATTTCAGCAACTTACCGTATTTACTCAAAGCCAATGCTCACCTTTTTTGGCCAAATTATGTTGCGAAATTGAAGGTGCGTACAGTGGTACCTCTGGTTACGAACTTAATTCGTTCCGGAGGTCTGTTCTTAACCTGAAACCGTTCTTAACCTGAGGTACCACTTTAGCTAATGGGGCCTCCCGCTGCCGCTGCACCGCCACCGCGCGATTTCTGTTCTCATCCTGAGGTAAAATTCTTAACCCGAGGTACTACTTCTGGGTTAGTGGAATCTGCAACCCGAAGTGTTTGTAACCTGAGGTGTTTGTAACCCGAGGTACCACTGTATTAGATTCACCAGCAAATACTTTTTTGGGTTTCAAGGTTCTGAAAACTGAGGTACGCATTAGATTCAGTGGTGCATTACACTCGTGTAAACACGGTAGTTGAATAATTGTCTCAACATACGTGGGGATCACCTTGGAGCCTATAATTGCAGTACATACATTAGGGCACTTTTTTTTATCAGGAAGTCTTGCACGATACCTTTTAATTAAGATTTCCATTTAGCTAAATATCAGTCTTGCATATCTCTGCATTATTAATTTTTCAAGAATGGAAATTGATAGCCACACAAGCCTCCATTATGCCCAGGGCTGGATTTAGGTTTGATGAGGTCCTAAGCTACTGAAGGTAATGGGGTCCTTTATATGTCCAGTTGTCCTTTGTCAACAACAAATTGTCACTGTTTTCTGTATTGAATATATGCTATATGGTAATTTATGGACCTAGTAGGTATCTAAAGTCATTTGCACATGCAGAATGTAGGCACCCTATATGTAGAAATGAGCAAACCAGTGATATTTTAGGGAGCAGGCTAGCAGGCAGGGCCCATTACTTACATTATAGGAGCCTACACAACACAAAACACTGTTGCTGTATGTAGGTTTATTTTATTTGTTTTTTATCTTATACTTTGGAAAGGTAAATCCAGTTTTTTCCCCTTTACATTTTTTTGGGGCCCCCAAGAGAGTGGGGCACTAAACTATAGCTTGTTTAGCTTATACAGTGGTATCTCTGGTTACGAACTTAATTCGTTCCGGAGGTCCGTTCTTAACCTGAAACCGTTCTTAACCTGAGGTACCACTTTAGCTAATGGGGCCTCCCGCTGCTGCCGCCGCACCGCCGGCACGTGATTTCTGTTCTCATCCTGAGGTAAAGTTCTTAACCCGAGGTACTACTTCTGGGTTAGCGGAGTCTGCAACTCAAAGTGTTTGTAACCTGAGGTGCTTGTAACCTGAGGTACCACTGTACGTAAATCCTGCACTGATTATGCCCACTGCGAACATAACTAAGGCCAGTAATGTCTGTTGTTGCCCAATTCCCATGATTTTTAAAAATAAAAATGGTGTGCAGAAAAATGGTACAGAGATACCTGTGTGCAAGCTCCAAACAGGAAAAAGTAGTCTAGGGCTGGGGAGTAATGACTGAGGGGTACAGAGCTGGCCTACCCAGGGGGCAAAGTGCGGGTATTGCCTCAGGTGGCAGAATCCATAGGGGCAGCAGATCCCAGTGTAGATCTTTATTCCCCCTCCTTGTTTCTGATGTAGATTTTCACTTACCCCTTCTTCCCTATGGCATAAAAGCAGGACAATCCCCGCCCCAAATGTTTGTGTTACAAAATGATACAGTGGTACCTTGGTTCTCAAACACCTTGCTTCTCAAACACCAAAAACCCGGAAGTAAGTGTTGCTGTTTTCGAATGTTTTTCGGAAGCCGAATGTCTGGTGTGGTTGTCAGCTATTGTTTCCGGGGTGCCTGCACTGATCAGAAGCTGCGCCTTGGTTTTCGAACATTTTAGAAGTCAAACTGACTTCTGGAATGGATTAAGTTTGGTGCTTTTGTTTTTGCTATTTAATTTGCATTTTTGTTTTGAGACTTTTTCATTTAATTTGTTTTTGTGACTGTGTGGAACCCAGTTCAGCTACTGATATATATATATATATATATATATATATATATATATATATATATATGTATGTATTCCAGTAGCATCTTAGAGACTAACTAAGTTTGTTCTTGGTATAAGCTTTCATGTGCATGCACACTTCTTCAGATACCCGAAGAATCTGAAGAAGTGTGCATGCACATGAACACTTATACCAAGAACAAACTTAGTTGGTCTCTAAGGCGCTACTGGACAATTTTTTTATATATTTTGACTGCGTCAGACCAACACGGCTACATACCTGATTGATTGATTGATTGATTGATAGAGTGTGTGACTGCAGAAATGGATAAAAGCCCCCCCTCCAAACAATAACGATCATCAGGGTTTAAGAATTTCTTTTTTAATTTTTATTTACAATACTGTCTTATTTATTTATAGTACAGTACATTGATTATTGCTTTCATTTTATGGATCAATGGTCTCGTTAGATAGTAAAATTCATGTTAAATTGTTGTTTTAGGGGTTGTTTTTAAAAGTTTGGAACAGATTATTCCATTTTGCATTACTTTCTATGGGAAAGAGCACCTTGGCTTTGGAACGCTTTAGTTTTGGAACGGACTTCCGGAGTGGATTAAGTTTGAGAACCAAGGTACCACTGTACATGGTTTTAGCAGGAAGCTGCAGAGCAGGCACCCATTGAAAACGAAGCAGTTTGGCGGCCCCAAGACTTGTGCACACGCAAAACGTATCAAAAGCGGGATCAAGTATTACTGCTCCTTATACTATCATGAGCGCAAATGTCATGGGCCAGGAGTTGGCTTCACCTGTTGAGCAGCAGCCTGAAGGAGCAGAAGGCAAAGTGACTCCACCTGCTGCCTTCTTGCCCTGATGAGAACCAGCTAGCTCCAGCTTTCTTAATCAGGGTTTCCAGCCTCAGCCAGTTGCTGAAAACAACATTCATTGTTCCTGGCCAGACCTTGCTGCTTTTTACTTCTCATGACCTTGGACCCTCAGCTTTCTTGACCCCTGGATTGTCTGACTACATGGATACTCCTGACGTTAGGACAGGACTGGATCTTGTATACGATCTCTGCCTCCGGGCAAGTACCCCCCTGAGACTGGACTGGTTGGCTGACCTCTACCATGGCTGGCAGCACAGAGCTACGACAACAAAGTATCACAAATACACAATAAAATTAAGATCTGGCAGGGCCATAACCTACTCTCCTAATTAAAAGCAGACGGAAATTGAAAACGTCTTCTGGACCTGCTTCAAAGAGAATAGAGAGGGAGTCAATCTTACATCTTGGCCGAGGGATTTCTGCAGATACGGGGCAACCACAGAGAAGGCCCTGACTTTCAACCCTGCCATCCTAAGAACATCTTTTGCTGGGGGTCTGCTATGCTGGCCACCTGCTATCGACCCACTGCTAACCAGAGCCCATCCTTTGCTGCTCCTATAGCCGCTGCCAGCTACTAAACTCTGTTGCATACAAAATAAATACAGTTGACCAATGAGCAAATGGTGTCTGTTGATGGAGGACACGCAACCACGCCGGAAACCAGTCATCCACAGAATCCTCCCATGTGCTGCGGACCATTTTACCACCTAACCAGAAATCTGGGGGAACGGGTCTATTTCTGCTGCCACCCCTTTCTGGCCCCCAGAATGGACTTTTCAGTCTTTGTCACTTGGACAGATCCAAGCTGCAAACACGAGAAATATTGCAGGGCATCCTCACCCGGGTTCTAGCCAACCATCTAGAAACTCCTCCAGGAAACAGTAAGGGACTCAAACAGGCCATTTCCATTCCTTCCCTCCAGATGCCAATTTTCTGTTATTGTTTTCCAACTGACACCCTTAGGTGGCTATTGAATGGGACGCGGGTGGTGCTGTGGTCTAAACCACTGAGCCTCTTGGGCTTGCCGATCAGAAGGTAGGTGGTTTGAATCCCTGTGACGGGGTGAGCTCCCATTGCTCGGTCCCTGCTCCTGTCAACCTAGCAGTTTGAAAGCACACCAGTGCAAGTAGACAAATAGGTATCGCTGCGGTGGGAAGGTAAACAGCGTTTCTGTGCACTCTGGTTTCTGTCATGGTGTTCCGTTGCACCAGAAGCAGTTTAGTCATGACCCGGAAAGCTGTCTGTGGACAAACGCCGACTCCCTCGGCCTGAAAGCAAGATGAGCACTGCAAACCCCATGTCACCTTTGACTGGACTTAACCATCCAGGGGTTCTTTACCTTTACCTACCTATTGAGCATGCTCAGTTCTTGTTGTAGGTCCCCCTCACTTGTATAAAATGGGATATTGGGTTGTATTTCTGCCAACCTCAGGTTGCGCCTCCAGCATGCAGACACCTCCCTAATTTCTCACTCCTTAGAACGTCCCTATTTTCATCAGAGAAATGTCGGAGGGTATGGAGTTATCCAAACCCCCCCCCAAACCCCCTGAAGGCAATCCTGGATAGGGAAGGTTTTTTAAATGTTTAATGTTTTATTATGTTTCTGTATACGTTGGAAGCTGCCCAGAGTGGCTGGGGCAACTTAGTCAGATGCGTATAGATGTATAAAAGCTTGGCCTAATTTTGCAGCTGCCCCTTACTTAACTAACATCACTAACGAAACCTATAGATGGGCTTTCTCTAGAGCCCGCTTTGAGACAATGCCCTCAGCAGTGCTGTACGGCAAATTCACGCGAGTTCCAATGCAGGCGCGTCTCTGCCCTTGTATGTCTAATAAGGTAGAATCTGTCACACACATTCTTTTGTCTTGCGAATTCTATAGTGAAGAACGAGTTCAACTTATTTTACCGCTTCTATCAAAATTTATACCCCTTCAATATTATTTGGAATCCCCCCTGAAACTCTTCGAAAATACCTCCTGGAAGATTCCTCAAGCTCAGTATCATATGAGGTGGCTAAATATTGCACTTTAGTAATTAAGAAGCGTAAATCTCTTCTGTTGAATGGCACACTGTGAAGTTCTCTTGTGTAACCTTTTTTCTTTTCTGAAGTTGTTGCTGATTTCTTGTTGTCTGATCTTATGGTGTTTAGTGTCACTGGCTTTGGCCGCAATAAACTTGACTTGACTTGACTTGACTTAGTCAGATGGGCAGAATATTAATAGTAAAATTATCATTATGGAATGCGATGTCCCTATTTTCATGGGAGAAATGTCGGAGGGTATGCAACCCCATCCCCAAGAAAAACAGCCTTATGAGGACTGAGCGTGCTCCCTACTAGACACAGAATGTTGACTGATAGTTGGAAAAGAAAAACAGAAAATGGGGGCTGGAACTGAAGAGCGAGGTGGGGCGTTCTGCTAGAGGACAGCATGGCTGACTGGCTTGTCGCCCTCCTGTCAGGTGAGGTTCACTGCAACGTTTTGTTGGAGGTCCCGCTTTCATTGCACATTGTTGCCAGTGCAAATGAAGCATGTCGTGGTTTTGCTCGGCTGATAGCAGTTGGGGCCAGGACACTTGTGTGTAAGGACATGTTTGCTCTCTCTGAACATTAAGAGCTGAACTTGGTGAAGGATCTACTGCCCTTGAACGGCTTCTCTGACACAGAGGTGCCTCCGTGTCTGCAGTGGGGTATGGGATTACTTCTGAACAATCCAAAGGTGTTAGAGGAGGTAAGGCTTTTATATCAGTGTTAGAAACTGAGATATGAAAGCTCAGAGCTATATGGCATCTTAGACCTAGGTTATGGGCACAACAACGAAATGTCTGGGTGCACTTTTTTATAATAGGAATACAAAGCTGAAAATGAATGAACTGCAGCTAAAATCTTATGTTCATTTTTCACATGGTCTAGTCCTTCCCCTGCCCATCCCCTTAATATCCTTAAGAGGGTCTCTTCTCCAGTCTTCTCCAGTCTTCAGAGAGTAGCTGGAAGTGGGGAGGCAGAAAAAGGTCCTCCTTTCCTTCCACTCTGTAGTTTTAATCTGAAATCTCAGGTGCAGCGCAGTACTGCACCCAGAGCTCAGAAACCGCTCACGCTAATGAAATTACCTATCGCAAAATGCGCCTAGAACAATGGGAGTTTCGAACACAGTTTTATATGTAAAATTGTCAAGGAGCCCCAGGGAATCAGCCCTGACCCAGGGGCTCTTAGCTGCATGGTATACACCTGGGCTGTGGGGGTGGGCGGCACTGTGGTCTAAACTACTGAGCCTCTTGGGCTTGTCGATCAGAAGGTTGGCAGTTCGAATCCCTGCGATGGAGTGAGCTCCCGTTGCTCTGTCCCAGCTTCTGCCACCTTAGCAGTTCAAAAGCACACCAGTGCAAGTAGATAAATAGGTACCGCTGCGGCGGGAAGGTAAATGGCGTTTCTGTGCGCTCTGGTTTCCATCATGGTATCCTGTTGCGCCAGAAGCAGTTTAGTCATGCTGGCCACATGACCCGGAAAGCTGTCTGTGGGCAAACACTGGCTCCCTCCGCCTGAAAGCGAGATGAGCGCCACATCCCCATAGTCACCTTTGATTGGACTTAATCATTCGGGGTCCTTTATCTTTTACCTTTACCTATATACCTGGGCTGCTGGCCACCGACAGGGGATAGCGCCCCCTGCTGATCCACCAGAGTTCTCCTCAGTGGCCTCCTGTCCAACTAGTGAGGCATCTAAACTCGGATGAGCTGACAGGATCATAGCCTGAGCTGGCAGGGCTTCATACGATGAGGGTGTTTATGACAGTGTGTCGGAGAGCAGCACGGTGCCCGGGAATGTAGATGTGTTTTAAAAATGACTCTGGAGAGAAGTCGGAAGGAATTGCTGTCTGTTGATGAACTGACCGTAATTCCTCTAGCGTTTTCTCACACACACCGAGTGACGGCTGTGGAATTGGGACTGCACCTTGGGGCAGATTTCAATCAGAATTAGACATATATATATATATATATTTGGGGGGGGGTATCGAAGGCAGAGGGCAGGGGACGAAAATATAAACATAATAGAAATAGCTAGGGTTGCCATATTTTGAAGAGCAAAAAAAAAAGGACACTATGACGACTCTCATTTGAAATACAGTGGTACCTTGGGTTAAGAACTTAATTCGTTCTGGAGGTCCGTTCTTAACTTGAAACTGTTCTTAACCTGAAGCACCAGTTCAGCTAATGGCGCTTCCTGCTGCTGCACAATTTCTGTTCTCATCCTTAAGCAAAGTTCTTAACCTGAGGTACTATTTCTGGGTTAGCGGAGTCTGTAACCTGAAGTGTCTGTAACTTGAAGCGT